ACCTCCTTCCGGAACTGACCTCTCAGCTAAAGCAGGTCCCTCACCCTTGCCACAACAGCAGTCTGCCCCCGCTCCCAAACGGTCCAACTCAGGGGTTGCCAAGCATTTTCCATAAAAGACCACATGAATATTTTGGGGGTTGTAGGCCACACAGTTGCCATCCCAGCCACTCAGCTCTGTGGTTACAGCCTAGAAGCTGCCGAGGATGGTATGTGCAGGAGTAAGCAAGGCCATGTGCCAGTAATACTTGATGGACAAGAACTAGTATGGGGGTGGCATCTGTGGCTCAAGGGAGTAGGGCTTTGGCCCCATATGCCAAAGGTGGCAGGTTCAAGCCCAGCCCTGGCCAAAAACTGCAAAAAAAAAAAAAAAAGAACTAGTATGGATGGGACTAGGGGGCTGTTGCTAGCTGACCCCTGGTCATATCTGTTTCCTTGACACCCCCATGTGTATCCTGACTCCCCCTCAATAGTCTGAGAGCACCACAAGGTAGCCAGACAGCCCCCTTTGTCCCTGGTGTGACCTGGGCACCTGCAAAACCTTCACCCCATAGAAGGTGCTCAATAACATCCAGTTAACATCAAACATAGACCAAGCAGGAGCAGACTCCACACACTCTCATGATGCCCACAGCAGCCTGAGCCCTCTGGTGTCAGGTTCTGCGGAAGCAGTGCTCAACACATGCTTCCCTTTGCTCCAGCATGCCAGGGAGAAGAGAGGGTCCCAGTACCCTGTAGTCACTTGTAGGCTAGGTATGGTCTAATGGTTTTACCAGTCAACTCTCTCCATGCAGCCACTGTACAGGACAGGCTACAGAGGATAAAGCGCCTGATGTTGCCTCCTAGAAGGCAGCTGGAGTAGAACTGAACCAGGAGCTTTCTGTGTCCAAAGTCCTCAGCCCCACCCTGGGCCCTCTGACATGTGATGAGAGATGTCACTACTCCCTGACTTTCTTACCCAGACTCTCACCTGTGACCACAGAGGAGGTCCCTGCTGCTGGCTCCCCACTGGTCCTTGAGGAATACTGCACTGCCGTCCAGGCATATCTGGCCTTGCCCTCTTCATGGCCTCTCCTTAGGGCTCCCTCAAATGTCACCTTCCTGGCAAGGACTTCCCCAAATGCCCCATTCCCGATGCAATTCCTCCTTAGTATCCACCTGATGTTTGCCAAGCTCTGTTATGTACCAGGCAGTCCAGGCGCTGGGGACGCTGCAGGAATGACACAGCCTGTCCGGGCTCTTATGGAGCTCTTGCGCAGGAGGGAAGACGGCCAGAACACACATCAGCAAAGCCATATGTCTCAGGTGGTGGCAAGTGCTATGGTGATGACAACAGTGACGAGAATGGGTAAGGATAAAAGGGAGGTGGGGCTAGAGAGGGAGATGCTGTTTTATGATCTGAGGGGGGATAGGCCTCACTGAGAGGAGGGGTTTGAGCAGATCCTTCAAAGAGCTAAAGAAGCAAATGGCACACATATGGAGAAAGAGCAAACAGAGTGTGCAAAGGCCCTGGGGCAGGACTGTACCTGGTGTGTTGGAGGCACAGTGAGGCCATGAGGCTGAAGCAGAGTGAGGTGGGGGAGAGAAGGAGGAGGGAGGTCAGGGAGGGGATGTAGTAGGTTGTACAGGGCCTGGTAGGCCATGGGGAGAACTCGGGCTTTACCCCAAGGTGGATGGGACCCATGGAGGGCTGTGGGCAGAGGGACAGGGTATGTGCAGCATAGGAAGAGAAGGGAGGCTTGTGGGGAGCCAACTACATTGGTCCAGGCATGAAGAGGAGGATGGTGATGGTCCAGGTGGAGGCAGAGGAGGGAGAGAAGTGAGTGGATTACGGGTTGGCAAAGCTGACAGAATTTGCCACCAGATTAGATGTGGGAGGGAACAGGGGGCTCAGGAATGAAGCTGACTATTCCCAGGCATATAGAGATAAGACCGGCAGGGGAGAAAAAGCTCAAACACCTAGACCACAGCTCAGGCCCAAACTATGGACAGAGTAGTGGCTCCAAAAGTGGGCCTAGCAAGCATCTCCAAGCCTCCAGCCCTCCTAAGCCTCACCTCTATGAACCAGGCACCCCACATGGCCCCCAAGCAGCACACAGAGTGTGACAGCCAGCCTTTTCTGAGCCAGATCTAAAAGCCAGGAGTCCAGGCACTTAAAGTAACCAGATTCTAAACACTGAGATACCATTTCGCCTCTGATCAGATTGGCCAAAATTACTAAGGACAACAACATCCAAAGCTGGCAACGTATGCGGACAGAGGCAGCCTCTCTTGGCCCCTGTGAGACAACGTTCTGGCCACTCCAACTTTCTGGAAAGTGTCAGATTGTGATTTTTCAATCTGTCTGCCACTGATGCACCCATTCCGCAGCTGGGCCTCCAACTGCTGGAAACCAAAGCCCTCAAACCACTGCCACAGCAGTGACTCCAGAAACAGCCAGAATGAATACGCCTTGAAGGATCTATGACAGCAGGTGTCTACAGTGGGCTGCCAAACATTGCTGACAGTCATTAAGTACAAGCGTTGACTCATTTAAGGCTCACAGCCAACCTGAGTGGACAAGGTTGTCACCTCAGAAGATGGGGCTTGAAGAGGTGAAGGTCACCCAGAAACTGAGGGACTGAGCTGGAAGTGGGGATTCAGGCAGAATTTAATTCCACTCTCTCAGCTACTGCCCTCTGTACTCAGCTCTCTCTACAAAGAAGATCACTGACACCAACGTAGGGGTAACATTCTGGGTTACTATTGACAAAAATCAAATAAATCACACAGAACAGATGCTATAGGGCAGTTCTCACCAGGGTGATTCTGCCCCCAGCAAATTGTGGGTGATGTCTAGAGACCTATCTAGTCATCATGACTGGGGGTGCCCCTGGTATGGAGCAGGTAGAGGCCACAGGCACTGCTCAGCACTCTGTAGGGCCCACGACGGCCCAATCCGCCAAGAGAGCCAATGCAGAGAAACTCTGGTGGGCCATGAAACCACCACAGTAAAGAACAAGCAGACACGTTTATGTGTTTAGTATTAGCATGAAAAATACAAATATTTACACATTTGTATGAAAATGCCTGGATAGCCCCAAATTTAACAGCGTTTACATCAGGAGAGAGAGGTTTGGAAAGGTAGCAGCAGCTCTTAATCTTAAAGTGAGAAAAATAACCCCCATAATATTCTAAAATAATAAAAAAGAGAAAAAATGGGTGGCACCTGTGGCTCAAAGGAGTAGGGTGCCAGCCCCATATGCCAGAGGTGGCAGGTTCAAATCCAGGCCCAGCCAAAAACAAAAATTAAAAAAAAAAAAGAAAAAAAAAAGATAAAATGAGTAAAATAAAGTAGCTAGAGTCAGATTTCTGCAGATTTCAGGAGCAGAGAGGACACCCCTGAACTCTCAGCTCCCCCAAACCCAGAGCCAGCCAGAGCCAGAGCCAAGAGTTTATCTGTCCTCACTCAGTCTGATAAGACAATGTGTGCCGTGTGGCTTTCTTGCGATCATCAAGTCTTAGGCTACTTTGTCTCTGACCACCTCAGGTCAGAGGGCTAATAGCAGAAGTCAGGGGCAAAGAGAGGGACCCCAGCTAGAATCCACTGCCCCCTGGATCACTCAAGCATGCCTGGTGCTGGCCAGGCCAGGTCATATGTCTCAGGCAGAGAACAGGGCAAGGAGACTGGCTCAGTGGCAATGAAGCAGGTCAACTACCAAGCAGTTCCAGATGGCCGTGGGGAAAGAAGCAGTGAGTGTTTCATAGCTGGGGGAGGGAGGGGCTTGCTCACTCCTGCTCTCTCTCTTCAGAATCACCCCCAACCCCCAGGCAGCAACGCACCTCCTTGCCTGCCTGCCTGCCTGCCAAGGAAGCTTCAGGAGGCCTGGGTGAGAAGGAGGATGGGTACCCACGTGGGTGTCAACAGAGCCTCTGAAGACTGCTTGGGGAGAGCACACAGGATTTTGCGAATCCGTAAACTTCCTATTTGGGAGCTTGTGACCTCGACTAAGAAGGAACTGTCCCCTCAGAAAGGCAATCTAGCAGCCCAAGGGTGGGGCCCGATAGGGCAGCCAGGCTCTCAGCACCTATCCTGCTGGAAGGCAAGGATACATATAGGCCATGCCCCCTGCATGCCTGGGGCAGCCTTGCTTGGTGTCTAGGAAGGTGGCTTGGGAGTGGTGAAACTGAGCGACAAGGCACCAAAGTAGCCCCCTCCTAGCCGGGCTGCCTGCAAAGCCGCGGCACTGAGGGCACCTCCAAACATCACTCCCTTGGACTTCTCGTTCTACATTAAGGCAAACTGAGGCCCAGAAAGGTAAGCAAGAGTCAGCGCACCCGTGTCCTGATCTGGAGGACTTGCAAGAGAGATGACACCGCCAGGAGATTGACCCAGATGGCGTCAAAGACCCTCCCCCCCCCCCCCGCGCCACCAAGAGGCTGCTACGGCTGCAAAACCACTCAGATGCGCCCATATGGGTGGCCTGCTGGTGGGTGCGAGGCCTCCAAAGCTGACCTGGAGAGACCGGCAGCGAGTCCAGGCAGGGAGTAGCATCCTCACATCTGGAGCAGCGTCAGCCTCCCGCGCCTGGGAGGCAGTGCCCCTCCCCAAGATCGAGGTCATCCACCACTGCCCCACACCCTCACCTCCGAGCGACCCGGCTGAGCAAGAGACAGTGCACCCGCCCCACTACCCAAACCTCCGAGAGGACCCCTCCTCCCCGCACGCTCTGGAGGGGGCGCCCCGCACTCGCACACCGCCCCCCCCCAGGCGAGTACCCCCGCCGATGGACCACGCCACCCCGAGCTCCTGGGCGGGGCGCTCCAGACGCCCCCGGGCCCGGGCCCCTCGCGGCGCGTTCCCCGGCCGTGAAGCGCTCCATTCTCCCCCGTGAGCGCCCCCGAGTGGAACGCTCCAGTCGCCCCTCCGGCGCGCGGGCGGACCCACTGGGCCGCGGCGGGGGGCGCCTGGCTGGTCCACTCGGCACGAGGTGGGGAGGCCACGGAGGACCAGACCGTTACCTGCCGCTGCCCCACTCTCTGCCGCCCAGGCCGCCTCCGAGGTCACGGCACCCGCCTCGGCGCTCTCTGCCTCATCCGGCACCTCCAGCTCCATGGCCGCACACGCGAACCGCGGCGGGCGGGCGGGCGGGCGGCCCGAAACTGCAACTAGAGCTGCGGCCGCCGCCGAACAACAAGCGCCGCCGGCTGGAGGGCGGGCAGAGGGGGCCGGGCCGGCACGAAGGGCGGGGCCTGCGTGCGTTTTCACGCGCCGCGCGCAGCCAATTGGGGCTCGGGGGTGGGGCTTGCGCTCGGCCTGTGCTCTCCTCGAGCGCACCCGCGCGCCCAGGCATGGGAGGACGTCATGATGCTGGTCTCGTCATCTTGCTTTATCCTTAATACTAACCTACAAACAAACATTAAAAACATTTACAGTTAAGGTCTTGCTTACTATCTTTTTTTTTTTTTTGAGACAGAAGCCCCAAGCTGTCCCCGTGGGTAGAGTGCCTGCCGTGGCATCTCAGCTCACAGCAACCTACAACACCTGGGCTCAAGCGAGTCTCCTGCCTCCGCCTCCCAAGTAGCTGGGACCACAGGCGCCCGCCACAACGCCCAGCTTTTTTTTTTTTTTTTTTTTTTGGTTGCAGCCGTCATTGTTGTTTGGCAAGGCCAGTCTGGATTCAAACCCGACAGGTCAGGTGTATGTGGCTGGCGCCTTAGCTGCTTGAGCCACAGGCGCTGAGCTGGGTAATTATATATTGCTATTAATATGAAACCACCAAAAATATTTATTTAAATATATAATAGTGCCTATATATTCATATAAATGTAAGTAGCAATGTGGATACTATTTTTTTTTTTTTTGAGACAGAGCCTCAAGCTATCTCCCTGGGTAGAGTGCTATGGCTTCACAGCTCACAGCAACCTCCAACACCTGGGCTCAAGCGAGTCTCCTGCCTCCGCCTCCCAAGTAGCTGAGACCACAGGCTCCCGCCACAACGCCCGGCTATTTTTTGGTTGCAGCCGTCATTGTTGTTTGGCAGGCGGGCTGGATTTGAACCCACCACCTTAGGTGTATGCGGCTGGCGCCTTAGCCATTTGAGCTACAGGCGCCGAGCCGGATACTATTTATATAAGGATAAATAGTAATGTTTATATTATTTATATAAATGCTATATCATATTTCCTTGTGGTTTTTTTTGCAGTTTTTGGCCTGTGCTGGGCTTGAAGCTGCCACCTCCAGCATATGGGGCCAGTGCCCTACTCCTTTGAGCCATAGGCACTGCCCTCCTTTTTTTTTTTTTTTTGAGACAAAGTCTCACTTTGTCACCCTCAGTAGAGTGCTGTAGCATCATAGCTCACAGAACCTCAAACTCCTGGGCTTAAGCGAATCTCTTGTCTCAGCCTCCCGAGTGGTTGGGACCATAGGCACCTGTCACAGTGCCCAGCTAGTTTTTCTTTTGTTGTTGTTTAGCAGATCTGGGCTGGGTTTGAACCCACCAGCCCTGGAGTATGTGACTGGTGCCCTAACTATGAAGGTATGGGCGCCCAGCCATTGTTATATCATATTTTTATAAATATGTTATATAATATATAAATAAATATTATTTCTATTTATATGAGTAAATAGGTACATTCATGCTTATATACATATGAATATTACTATTATGTACTGATATTATTACTTTAAGTCATGGGGTGGTGCCTGTGTCTCAGTGGGTAGGGCACCAGCCCCATATACTGAAGGTGTTGGGTTTGAACCTGGCCCTGGCCAAACTGCAACAAAGAAATAGCCTGGCATTGTGGCTGGCGCCTATAGTCCCAGCTACTCCGGAGGCTGAGGCAAAAGAATTGCTTAAGTCCAGGAGTTGGAGGTTGCTGTGAGCTGTGATGCCACAGTACTCCACCAAGGGCAATAAAGTGAGACTCTGTCTCTAAAAAAAAAAAAAATACTCTAAGTCATAAGTAATTCATACATAATAAATAGATAAATACACATTTATGTAAATATAAATAATATTTTTATAGTGATATGAATATATAATGGCATCTATATTAGTCAAATAATTGTAGTTTAGGGTGGTACCTGTGGCTCAGTGAGTAGGGCGCTGGCCCCATATACGAAGGGTGGTGGGTTCAAACCCGGCCCCAGCCAAACAGCAACAAAAAATAGCTGGGCATTGTGGCAGGTGCCTGTAGTCCCAGCTATTCAGGAGGCTGAGACAAGAGAATTGCGGCTCGGCACCTGTGGCTCAAACAGCTAAGGCGCCAGCCACATACACCTGAGCTGGCGGGTTTAAATACAGCCTGGGCCCTCCAAACAACAATGACGGCAGCAACCAAAAAACAGCCAGGCGTTGTGGCGGCCGCCTGTAATCCCAGCTACTTGGGAGGTGGAGGCAGGAGACTCGCTTGAGCCCAGGAGTTGGAAGTTGCTGTGATCTGTGACGCTGCAACACTCTACCCAGGGTGACAGCTTGAGGCTCTGTCTCCAAAAAAAGAAAAAAAAGAGAATTGCTTAAGCCCAGGAATTGAAGGTTGCTGTGAGCTGTGATGCCGCAGCACTCTGCTGAGGGCAATAAAGTGAGACTCTGTGTCTTAAAAGAAAAAAATAGTTTAATTAATTAATTAATTTTTTTTGAGACAGAGAGCCTCAACCTATCCCCCTGGGTAGAGTACCGTGGCATCACAGCTCACAGCAACCTTAGGTGTATGTGGATTCGAACCTTAGGTGTATGTGGCTGGCACCTTAGCCACTTGAGCCACAGGCGCCAAGCCAAATAGTTTAATTTATTATGTACATACAAAAATTATATGATATATAAATATTGTCATTTAAAATAATGTGTTTCGGTTCGGCGCCTATAGCTCAACTGGCTAAGGCGCCAGCCATGTACACCTAAGGTGGCAGGTTCGAATCCCCAGCCAGGACCTGCCAAACAACAATGACGGCTGCAACCAAAAAATAGCCGGGCATTGTGGCGGGCGCCTGTGGTCCCAGCTACTTGGGAGGCGGAGGCAGGAGACTCGCTTGAGCCCAGGAGTTGGATGTTGCTGTGAGCTGTAATGCCACAGCACTCTACCCAGGGGGACAGCTTGAGGCTCTGTCTCAAAAAAAAAAAAAAAAAATGTGTTTCTATTATACTATAAATATTAATATTTATATATCGTGTATTATAAATATTGTTTGATAATAATAAAGTAAGTCGAGTTGCTATTATACTATAAATATTAATATTTATGTATTTTGTGTGTTATAAAAATATTGTTTGATAGTAGTAAAGTGAGTTATAAGTGGTAATATCATATTACATGCCATGCTCAGTGCTAAAGCTTTTGCATGAGATATTTTCCTTAAAGTTAGACTTTTTGTGTGTGTTTCACTGCTAATAAATTAATTCCCAGTAGCTAACAACTAGTAGGCAATAAATATTTGAAAATATTAACCAAGCATATGGGTACTATTATCACCTGCATCTCATACATGAGAAAATGGGAGCTCAAAGAACCATGCTGTGAATCAGCCCTATCATTGTACTAAGAATAATTGTGTTAACAGTATTATAAAAGAATAATGAATTTATTAATGATATGGTTAGGAGGTTATTTATTCGGAGATCATGGTTTGGGTATTAATAAATGTTGTGTGGGTACAGCGGCTCAGGCCTATCATCCTAGCACTTTGGGAGGCAAAGGTGATTGTTTGAGGACAGGAGTTGGAGACCAGCTTGGGCGACATAGACTGTCTCAAAAATGTTAAATGATAAATTTCTTATTTATTAAACTTATTATGTTGTGTGTATTTTCCCATAATTTTTTTTTCTTTTTTGAGACAGAGGCTCAAGCGTAGAGTTGAGCCTGGGTAGAGTGCTGTGGCATCACAATTCACAGCAACCTCCAACTCCTGAGCTCAAGCTAAAGCGATTTTCTTGCCTCTGCCTCCCAAGTAGCTGAGACTAAAGGTGCCCACCATAACACCCGGCTATTTTCTGGTTGCTGCCGTCATTGTTGTTTGGCAGGCCCAGGCTGTATTCAAACCCGCCAGCTCAGGTGTATGTGGCTGGCGCCTTAGTCACTTGAGCCACAGGCGCTGAGCCCCATAATCTTTTTTAGGTGCTCCAGAAAGAGTTCTTTGGACATACGTTATGAATAGAACTGATTCATGCAGATCTGCCGGGAGAAAAATTTAGACCCCTGATTCTCAAAGTGTGGTCCCTAAAGCCTCCCAGGAATGTGTTTGTAAGAAATGCAGGTTCTGGGCAATGCCTGTGGCTCAGGGAGTAGGGCACTGGCCCCATATACTAGAGGTGGTGGGTTCAAACCTGGCCCCGGCCAAAACTGAAAAAAAAAAGAAAGAAATGCAGGTTCTGGCTGGCAGTGGTGTCTCATGCCTATAATTCCAGTACTCTGCAAGGCTGAGGCGGGTGGAGTGCTAGAGCTCAGGAGTTGGAGATGAGCCTGAACAAAAAGCGAGACCCTGTCTCTACTAAAAATAGAAAAACTGGGGGTGGCGCCTGTAGATCAGTGGATAGGACACCGGCCCCATATACCGAGGGTGGCAAGTTTAAACCCAGCCCTGGCCAAACTGCAACAAAAAAATAGCCAGGCGTGGTGGTGGGTGCCTGTAGTTCCAGCTACTCAGGAGGCTGAGGCAAGAGAATCACCTAAGCCCAGGAGTTGGAGGTTGCTGTGAGCAGTGTGACGCCATGGGACCCTACCGAGGGCAATAAAGTGAGACTCTGTCTCTACCAAAAAAAATTAAAAATAAAAATAAAAATAGATGATGGGACCACATCTATGGTCCAT